CAGAATTCCTGAGCCGGCATGGGGAACGATGGCCCCTTTATGACTTGCGGACTAGTTGGCCTCCTGCACCATAGCGGGGTGGGGGGCGTTTTTGCACTCCCCAGGCTCTGGAGGCTTTCCTCAAGCCTCTGAGAGGGCGAAAATGGCCTCCCCGGGCTCCAGAGGCTCTCTGGAAGCCAGAAGCAGGCCTGAACTTTCAGGAGGCCCATTGTTCATCTTCCCCAAGCCTTCAGTGGGCACCCTTGCACTCACCTGCATCCAAAACGGGCCTCGTGGGGACTCCTGGGAGGGGCGGGGCGAGCCAGGAGTAGGATTTGGGGGGAGCTTCTCCGAACTGCACAGAATCTTGGCTAGGGGCTCTCCCCAAACCCCTGCGAACTCCCAGCAGCCCATCCCTGAGCCTAGGTTCCCTTGTTATTATTAACACTATTAATAATTCTCATTAATTAGCAAATCCATAAATCACCCCTTCAATTTTTTTTCCCCTTTTCCCCCAAAAGCCCCCCCCCCCCCCCCCCCCCCCGTCAGTCGATATGGCGGTTGGTCACATCCATTCTGAGTCTACACACCTCAGGGGTTCCAGTCTCAGCCATTTCCAGTCCAGCGGACGATGATGGTTGGGCTAAGACTGAGTTCCTGGTGGGGGTCATCTCACTGGCTGTGAAACACAAAGAGAGAAGTTGAGAAAGGGATGCAGGATTTAGCTTTGGTTGCCATCTCAGAACGCCAACTCATTAAAACTCTCTGGCTCATCAGTGCTATCTTAAGAAATTCTAACATAGGTAAAAGATAAACACTCTAACATATAGGAAAAATTAAACAGGAAAAAAGGATGAAGTGCAAATAACTGTAAAAAAAAATGATATCCAGGTAGGCTTACAACAGTTCATTTATTACAACGGTGCTGGGGAAAAAAGTGACTTATGATCGTTTTCCACACCTATGACCGTTGCAGCATCCCCATAGTCTCAGGATCAAAATTCAGATGCTTGGCAACTGGTTCATATTTATGACGGTTTTAATGTCCTGTGGGGGGGGAGGAGGGGTGTGTCACACAATCCCTTTTTACGACCTCCCGACAAGCAAACTCAATGGGGAAAGCCAGATTCCCTTAACAATCAGGTTGCTAACTTAACTGCAGTGATTCACTTAACAACGCTGGCCAGAAAAGTCGTACAATGGGGCAAAACTCACTTGACCAGAGTTCCGCTTAGCAACATAAATTGTGTGGTCATAACTCAAGGACTGCCTGCAGGGACTTCCAACTCTTTTTTATTTATAGCAGTTACAAACTTAGTATCCCTCCTCCCTCATGAAGCTTTTATTTTATTTATTAATTTTATTTGCCCCTTAATTCACCGTGGGATTCCTCTTGGTTCCCTTCTTCTCCCATCAATACTTTTTAATTAGCAAATCCATAAATCGGCAATTTATTTTTTCCCCCATTTTCGGATGGATTTGCTCAGCAGGATTTATCTTCTTTTCAGTCAGTTGGTGCGGGCCTATTTTATGTGCAACCGGTTTGTGGTCTGGCCATAAAATCCACCAACAGGCACACCCGCTAGGAAAACAACCCAAGTTGGTAAACAAAGCCACTGACTTTTATGTACGGGTAGCTCTCGACTTAAAATAGTTCATTTAGCAACTGTTCGAAGTTACAACGGGACGGGGGGAAAAAGGGACTTAGGACCGTTTTTCAGAGTTACGATTTTCGCAGCATCCTCATGATCACGTGAGAAAAATTCAGCTGCTTAGTAACTCTTTCAAACTTATGACCGTTGCTGTGTCCCGGGGTCATGCAATCCCCCTTTTTACAACCTTCTGACAAGCACTGGTTGCCCACTACGCTCTTTGGACAAGCTCAAAACATTCTCAAAGATCCATCTCATCCTGGGCACCCTTTTTTTTTTTTTTTAATTATTACCATCCGGCAGACGGTACAGGAGAATAAAAACCAGGACAAAAAGGCTGAAAAACAGCTTCTATCGCAGGGCAAGTAGCTCTGTTGAATTCTACTGTATGCTTTAGTTTACTTTATTGTCACTGCACCTCGTACAATGAAATTAAATACCATCTTCAGTGTACATTATGACTGGAGATAAACACCAACACGCATCCTTCACAATATTAATTAGCGCAGTATTAATGCAACATCAGGGGTTTTCAATTCAACGTGTAGAATGTTTGTGTTTATTTTCACAGTCACAATGTACACTGAAGATGGCATTTAATTTCATTGTACGAGGTGCGATGACAATAAAGTAAAAGTAAACTAAACAAAGCCAAGGTTCACTTAACAACAGTGTTACTCATTTAACAACCATGGGGATTCATTTGACCACTCTGGCGAGAAAGGTCATAAAATGGGGGCAAAACGCACTGAACAAGCATCTCGCTTAGCGACAGAAATGTTGGGGCCAATTGTGGTCGTAAGTCAAGGACTGCCTGTAATTCCTTCCCTGACCAACCAATTTCCTCCCTCTCCCCCCCAGCCCTTCCAACTAACCTCCAGGGTGGTAGTGCTGCCTCTGCCTCCCCTCGGGCTCCAAGGAACTACCTGAGGCCTCTGGCAAAGGAACCTAGAAAAGGATAAAGAATAAGCTGTAAATAACAGGCCCGCTGCCTTTTCTGCTCTTTCAGCAACGGTCAGCAGTGAAAACGTGACATGGGGATTAATATGGACCGAGTGTCAGGATTCCAGCGATCGCCCTAAATCAGGAGCCTTGAGCCAAACTTCAAAAAGCTTCAAAGAATTCATTAGGAGCGACATATTGACATGACCTGGATGTAGCCGATTCTGAGACACGTAATTCACCTGGTCAAGTAATGACCCTGGTTCCCCCCCCCCCGCCCTTTCTGGGTGTGTCATAATTCATATTCTCCAACGAAACACGTCCGTAGCCAAGAGTCATCAAATCTGAGTCTCCAATTGGAGTTTTGCTCGGCCGGAAACTCCAGACGGTTAGTATAATCTTTGCAAGGTACGCATGGAATGTACTTTCGTTTCTGAACTGCTGCACTGCTCTTTCAGACTCCTTTTCCCCCTCCCCCCCCCCCAATTTTATTTTTGTAACGGCAACTATAAAACGTGCATAGAAAATGTTTTATGAGTTGACACCGGGTGCACGCAATGCTTCGCTTGGTTACTGAATTAATCTTTGTTCCGGGGGGTCACGCAACGTTACGCACGCTAAGCAAGTTTACAGGCTAGCGAGACCTAATTCACTGTGCAAACACAACCAGCCAAGTCTTCTTCACTCATAAACCTGGAATGAAGGTGCGTTCCCAGAGTCTGCGGGTTGGTTTCCAAACGTTTCGCTACCAGGCCAGGTAACGTCTTCAGCGGATGTTACGGGATGTTAGCGTCGGCCGTCTTCTGCTTCTCAGGGCTTTGTGTTGTCAGTAGATCTTGTGATAGGAGGGTCATGTCAGGGGAGGGGTCTTATGGGTCTAGTGAGGAGTCAGGTATGGGTCACATCAGGTAAGGGGTCTTTGTGATCGTTCAGGTGTGGGTCACGTGAGGGGTCATGTGTGCGTTGAGTCAGGTGTGGGTCTTGTGAGGGCTCAGGTGTGGGTCACATCAGGTGAGGGTTTGGGGAGGGGTCTTGAGGGCTCAGGCATGGGTCACAACAGGTGTGGGTCTTGTGAGGGGTCAGGTGTGGGTCGGGTCAGGTGAGGAGTCAGGTGTGTGTGGAGTCAGGTGTGGGTCTTGTGAGGGGTCAGGTGTGGGTCACGTCAGGTGAGGGTCTTGGAATGAAGCCTTTTATAAGCAGAAGAACACCAACACTGACAACCTGGGAGAACGAACCTCCACCCTCATCCTACACCTGAGCTACAGATATTCCCCACTATTGCATGATTAACCTGGTCCCAGCATATCCTGGGGACCGGCTGCCTCATAAATTTGGCTCATATCTAGAATTCAATCAGCAGAAGAGCCTTCTCCAACTTGGAGAGCCCTCTAGATGTGCCCTCCTCCCACCTTCTCTACAGACTGGATGGGAAACGGAAGCATCTACTAGGAGAGGTCTCCAACCGTGGCAGTGTTATGACTGGTGGACTTCAACTCCCAGAATTCCTCAGCCAGGAAGTCGAAGTCCACCAGTCATAACAGCTGGATGAGGAATTCTGGGAGTTGAAGTGGACCAGTTGTAACACTGCCACAGGTGGAGACCCCCTGATCTACAGCGGCGACTCTTCCTTCTCCCTGCAAAGAGAAACGGAGGGCGCTCAGGTCCCAAATGTCAATTCCTCACCTGCCAGTCGCAGGTCCTGGCTGCGTGACGAGGACCCATCAGGAATTCTTCTGCCAACGCCACCATCTCGACGCAGTCCTTCGGCCCGCATTCCCGCACCCAGTTCTGGGCTTCGGCGGGCAGCATCCCCAGAAGCTGTTCTTGGATGATCATCTCTAGGATCTGCTCCTTGGTGTGGCTCTCGGGTTTCAGCCACTGGCGGCAAAGATCCTGGAGTTGAGTGTACACCCGGCGGGGGCCTTCCAGCTCCTGGTAGCTGCACTGCCGGAAATGTTGGCGTTTCATTTCCATGCGGAAAGCGTCCGCTCGCAGGATGGCGGCCTTCACCTTCACGTAGTCGGTTCTATCCCGGGCATCCAGTCTGCAGAAGGATTGCTCCATTCCTCCCCGCAAGGCGGGCAGCAGCTGGCGCACCCATTCCTCTCGGGGCCACTGGCAAGCTTCGGCCACTTGTTCGAAGGCCGTCAAAAATGCCCGAGCGTCATCCCAGGGTGCCATGTCGGTTAACTGGAGGTTTCCCCAGCCCGTGTGGGCGGGCTGCAGCGTGTTCAGAAATTCCTGCCACTGAGCTTCCCACTGCTGGGTTAAGCCCACTTCTGGTTGTTGGTTCGGCTGCCTTGGCCCGCCTTTAAAATACATCACCTGGACAATGCGCGGGACTCTTCCTGGGCCTTCCAAACCCTTTTCCATGGTCTTGCGCCTTGCCCTGAAGTGGAAAGGCGGGCCAGGCAGCCCCTGTGCCGGTTTTTTGGCGGTCTTTCGAAGTTTTCAGGGTTTTTCTTTCTTTCTTTCAAAGAACCCCATAAAGGGAAAAGGAGATGTGGAGGAGTTTCTGGAAGACAAATAAGAAAGATAGCCTGTCAGGATGAGAGAAAGAAAAAGGGAGGGAGGGAGGGAGGGAAAGAGAGAAGGGGGACAGAAGGAGAGAAAGAGGGGGACGGGGAGAGAAGGGAGAGGGAAGGAGAGAAAGAGGGAGGAAGTGAGGGAGGGAAAGAGAGAGGCTAAGGAGAGAAAGGGAGAGAAAGTGTGTGAGAGAAAGAGGGAGGGAGGGAGAGGAAAGGAGAGAAAGGGAGGG